ATAACTTATAAACTTCAAAAGATTCAAATCTTTAAAACTTATAACATAACTACATAAGCTCAAAAACTAAAAAAAAAAAAACTTTATTAAACTCAACATACAAACTTATATATGTAAAAATTTAAAAAAATATCTTTAAAATAAACTTAAGTAAAATTATTATAAATTTTAAAACTTAAATACTATAAACTAATATAACTTAGAAAAATAAAAAAAACATTCGTATTTTCGTAATTCAAAATAACTCAAAAAAAATAATTATTTTTTGAAATAGCTATATGTGTCGTCCCGTTTATCCCATCCCGTTCCGTTCCGGTCCATTCCGGTCCGTCCCGGTTCTATCCCGGTATATAGTGGGACGGGACGGAACTGAGCCTCCATCCCGGTAGTTCCGGTCCGGTTCATCCCGGTACCGGTCAACAACCCGGTCAAACCGTCCCGTTCCGGTCCGGTGCCCAGCCTTAGTGTTGGGAGGGTAGAGTGTACGGAAACCTTACCCCTACCTCAGAGGTAGAGAGGTTGTTTCTGATAGACCCTTTGCTCAAGAAAAAACTCCGTTGATAAAAAGGAAACAATTCTTTCTGTATGTACAATATGCAATCAGAGGACCCATAAACATAGATACAGGATATTATAAGACCTTATACACAAATAGTTGCATTTGATTGCTTTACTTTTCAGGAAAAAACATGCCAATGTTGAAGTTATCCAGACAAAACAAATCATGAAGCTTTATAGTAATAACAACAAAAGCCATGAATTGTCTTATCTGTGGACAGTTGTTGTAGGAGTCCTCCATATAATGCCAGGAGAGGTGCTGCAAATGCAAGCATCATCTTTTGACTTTTTGAGGCAAAGGATGTATACATCCAACTGTTGCCCTGGAAAATTCACATGCTTATGAATAATACGCTTTGGAAAAAGAATATGCACCCAACAAGAACACCAAAGAAATTGGTAACTAAAATTCACAATATGACGACATTATGAAAAATTAAGCACCGAGATCTATATTTGAGATAGCATCTGCCGAAGTATGAAACTTAGTTTACATCATACTGATGATTATCACTTCATCATGATATACTCACAATCTAAAATTTAATCGTCCTCACTGCATGCTTCAATTTTTACACAGTAAAAAACACAAGGAATCTACTTGAGGAAGATATCTGAGACTAGATAAAGACTAAGCTTAGATAGTTTAAGTCCGCCTTCAGCACCTTGAGCAGCAGGTCTTTTTTTGTCTTATCACTTACAGCTGACATCTCCATACAAGGACTAGTGTTGACGGTCACATAGTGAAAAATGTTCCTAGCAGCTTTAATGATTATCATCGTAAATTATCAGAGGTTCTTCATGAATGATACAACATGATTGTTCACTCTCTTTTACAAGGTTCATAAAGAAATGCATTCGAAAAAGATAGAAGTTTATTTCTTTCCAAGAATATAAGGCATGATAACATAGTTACAATTGCTCAACTGTCTACAGCAATGGAGGTAAACAACAAAGTCAAAAATATCAACAAAACACCTATTCTCATGCTTGTTACAATTTCATCCAAGGCGAAACGTGGATGAGATCCAACCAATGAAAAGAAAGGTGAGAGGCAGAAATAAAAATCAACTGACATGAGTACCAGTTCCAGCAGAAATTAAAGTCTTCAGCTCTGCTAAATGTTCATCATTTGAAATATGGAGCGAGATGCGAAGATTAGTTAACAATGCTTCTTGGTCCCAACTTAAAGGACCGGATGCATACAATGCCTCTAAAGTGCAGCGATAAGCATGTAACTCCAAACTATGAATACTTGCTGCTATTTTCACTGGTGAAGAAAGAGAGTGTCTTTCCTCCTTATCTGCAGAATCATAAAAAGACTCTGCATCACTGCAAAGAAGCTCAGTTCCTTGACAATAGACTTCTTCTGGGGATAAGTTGGAAAATTTTTCGTTGATACTACAACTACCAACGGAACAGGCATCACTAGATTCTGTACTTCTGGTAAGGAAATAGCCAACAGAACCACTTCTTTTGGTTTGCTCCAATGCACAATATCCATCAGATACATCGTTCAATGAATCATGCACATACTTCTCAGCCATTATATTCTCTTTGCACTTGGCATTAACATTGACCTGTCCCTTTAAGGCAGCTGGGACCACCCTCCGTCTCTTAAAAGCTCTCTCAGTTGCCGCTAAATCCTGAATGTTTCTAGATGTTTCATTTTTAGAGAAGGCAACTTGGGATACCCTATTCAGCAATAACGAAGAACTAATATGAGACTTCCGCAACTCAGTACACTCCTGAGAAGCTAAATGATCATCCCCAGCATGAAATCTACTCCTTGCACTAAAAGACAGGACCTTGCTCACCTTTTTAGAAGGTTTTAAAGCTGATAGTTGGTCAGATCTTCTACACAGTTCAGATCCCTATAAGAAGAAACAAACATATAGTCAACAAACACAAACTAAACAACTCAGACTAATACCGAAAGATGACAATGAAGAACCAAACAACAAAACGAATCAAGAAAAAATGAAAAGAAGATAAGTGGAACACAAAATAAAAAAAAAGGAAAAATCCTCAAAATAAAGAGAGAAAAGACCAAATATAAATGTGAAATTCTATTAGACACAACAAACCCAAGAAGATTGGAAAAAAACGAGGAATGCTAAACTTCTTCTATCATTCTACATCTGCAAACAAAAATCTAAGAATGCAAATGAAAAGTAAAAGGAGAGAATAGCATAAGGTCTTGGGAAATGGAGAGGGAGAGAGACTTCAAACTCACCTTCCTTATCAAGTCCCGTTCCTCATCTTGCCAACATTGTACCACTCTCGTGTTTGATCTGTGCACACAAAGCTCCTTCAGACATCCAGTCTGGCGTACCAAATAGTAGTCACTATCCAGAACCTTCACAATTGTAGCCATCTTCCAAGATGATTCGTCAAATACCTCCACAACCTGACCAGTTTCCTGATTTTCCAAACCCTCCACACATGGTGTACAAGATCTGATATTCTTTCTTGACACCCTCTCAGTCCTCCCCTTACTTTCCATTCCAGGATAGTAATCATACCTTACAGTGTACATATGCTCATTATCAGAGAGAATCTCTGCACGACGCTGTAATGCAGGTGACTGCTTCATGTTCATTACCTCAACTTTGCTTCCCCTTTTAAACCTCATGATTTGTAACTCAGCTCAAACCCGATAACCTGATAATTTCAAAAGCACATTATAACACAACACAAGACTTTGTACTACAAAACCATAACAACATCAAAACTTCCCAAAACTTGGTAGAGATACATTCTATCAAGAACGAAAAGGATATTATCATCAGTAATCTCAAGATATACATGAAAAGACAAAATCTTTACATCAATACCCAAACAATTAATCGAATTAAATCTTAATTGATTCAATAGAAAAACCCCCACAAAATGATATATACACAAAAGTATGATTATCTATAAAGTACTCAATCGTCGATACTGATTGCTAGCACAAAATTAACAAGGTCTGAGTATATGATCTCACACATACATACACACACACACCAAAACAAAAAGGAATCTTTAAAAAAATATTGCAACCTTAACAAAAACCACCAATAACATAAATGCTGAAGTACCTAAATAAAATTCATAAAATCATAACAAAATGATTCTTTTGATCAGAAAAAAAAATCTAAAAAAAGATAGAAAACTTGCTTAGGCACTGAGCAAAATACATAAACAAACTTGTGAGAAAAGCAAAAAAATATCTGAAAAAAATAATTAAAACCCAATTAATTGATTTCAACAAATGATCGAAACATCCACATAAATCTCAATAATCAAAACAAAAATTAAAACGAAATGATAAAATAATTCTGTTTACAAGAAAATCGTAAATATGGATCAAATTACGTACCTTTTTCTGAAAATTGAAGAAATGCTTCAACTTATGAAGTCGCCGATCGCAAATTGGATTGTTCCCTTGAAGGAATCGAAAGAATTTTTCGGATTTGAGTTAAATTGTATTTGTGTTCTAGGGTTTGGTTTTGGGGAAAAAGAAATATTTAAGAAAAAAAAAAACAAAATATATATTACGTAGAGAGGGGTATTATTGGGGAAAAAATGATGATTTGCTTCAAAAACTCGATCCACCAGAAAAAAAAAGTCCCATTATGCCCTATTATTAACCATAAAATTTAACAATGTCACACAACTTATGCCGAGCAAGATAAAATCTTTAATTTCAAAGATTAAAAAACCTTTAAACTTATGTTGAACAAGAATACTACAAATTGCAAATTTTCAATAGATGAAGAATGTGTATAAAAAATAGTTACCTGAAATACAAGGGGCAATAATTAAATACAATTTCGTTTGAGGAGAATAACTTAGATTTAAAGAGCCAATAAGAAATTGTAGTACTAATTGACTCATATTGCCACAATCCAAAAGTTGAGGTCATGATGACACACACCCCAAGAACTTCAAAATGGTGTGTAAGCCGAAAGAACTAATACATACGAGACACCCAAAGAGTAGTCAGGCCACAAATGATAGAAAACAATAAAGAATTTCAAAACCTGGTAGCGCGCATAAGTGTGAAGTGCATGCATCTAATACAATTCTGGAATCTGAAATCCATCTCAAGTCTTCGAAATGAAAGTTATAGACTTCTAATGATGGATGGAGACTAATGGCGATCCGGAAAGCAGGGTCTCACCACAACTCCGAAAAAGATAAATCAGTTGGATCCAATCAACCGCTACAAGGATCACCTTGACTAGGATCTACATCAAAGTGATAATAGAAGTAGGGGGTGAGTACAACCCACATGTACTCATTAGATTAGACCGACT